ATGGGAAATGTGTTTTTTTTTTTTTTTTTCATGAACTAAGGGCTGTCTGCTACCCTTTGGGAGTGGGCACCCCCCAGGGCACTGTGGGAATTACCCACACTGTGGAAATCAAAAGATACCTGATGCACTGTAGGTTGGCCCCAGTGCACGGTGGGAAGGGTGTGTGGGTGCACAGTGGAAGCGCCATCTGAGTGGGGGCCGGGCAGGTGGCTATGGGGCATCTGGGAATGGAGTTGGTATGAGGCTCCTTACACCCAGTGACCGCCCCTCCCTCAGCCAGGGGCAGCAGCTGTCCACCGAGTCCCTGCAGCAGCTACTGGAGCGAGCACTGACCCCCCTAGTGGACGAGGTGAAGCAGAGGGGCCTGGCTCCCGCCTGCCCCAGCTGCCAGCGGCTACACAAGAAGATTCTGGTACCAGGGACCACAGGCCATCATGCCCCACTTTTCGGTCAGGGGGGCGGGAGGGGAGCCCCGGACACAAGGATACTGTTGGTGTGTGGCAGGATGGGAAGCACTAAACACCATTCGTGGCAGGTGTTGGGGGAACACGTGGATCTGATGCATCGGGGTGGGGAGGAGAGGCAAGCAGTCTGGTGGGTGGTAAGTCACAGGTCAGTCATTATGGGACCCGGGGTGATGGACTTGGGCCCAAGGCAGTGGATGACACATTGGATCTGATGCATGGTGGGACACAGGAGACAGACGCTCGTCTACAGCTTCATGGAATACAAGCCTGATTTTCTGTAGACCTTAAGAGACGCAATATGGGATCATTGAGGTCAGACAGGGGACCCAGTGAATACAAGTCACAGTAAGCTAGTGCATTATGGGAAATGGAACTACAGCTCTTCACGAGGTATTGCACCACCGGCCCCAGCCTATTAGCTGATGGAACTTGAGGCCTGTGTACATCCTGAAACACAGATACCTAATGTATTATGGGATACTGGCCTAATGTACGATGGGACACAAGTTGCAGTGTGTGAGACGACACTGATGTGGCAGGACTACAGGACTAATACATGAGAGGACACGGGGCCTGGGACGTTGTGGAATGTAGGGAACCAGAGGACTGAGGATTATTATTTTAACTGAGATGCTGGTCTAAGAGAGATGCGGGGTCTTACGAATTAGGGGATGTAGTTCACCAATGATGGGATCCTGGGACCTGGACACATATCAAATGCACGATGGTTCATGGGCATTAGGGGACAACATGTTAGATGCTGGTTGCGTGCTTGCTGGGACACAGAAGGGCAGTACGTTAGGGGACAGACAGTGGGACAGCCACAGGTTCAGCACATGATGGGATATGGAAAGCCCACTGTGGGATGCTGGGGTCAGTCTCAGGTCCAAGGCATGATGGGAAACCCTGGGGGAGGAACGTGGACCCCATGGGCCCCATGACCCTTGCCCGCCGCGATCCAGCTCCCCCTCCACCCCCAGCCCAGTCCGGCAAGCCCAGCCGCGCCTACACTCCTCTCCCCAGGAGCTGGAGCGCCAGGCCTTGGCCAAACACATCAGGGCAGAGGCCCTAAGCTCCACCCTTCGGCTGGCCCAAGACGAAGCCTTGCGGGCCAAGAACCTGCTGCTGACCGACAAGATGAAGCCGGAGTGAGGAAGGAGGCTGAGGGCGTGGGAGGAGGGTGAGGTCTTGGGGAAAGGGCCCGAGTCACCCTCTTCTTCCACTCTAGCCCCCTGGCATCTGGCCTCATCAGCACCAGCCCCCCACTCTTCTGTTATTACAGGGAGAAGGTGGCCACTCTGGACTATGTACACCTGAAGATGTGCTCCCTCCACGATCAACTCAGCAACCTGCCACTTGAGGGGTCCACAGGGACGATGGGGGGAGGAAGCGGTGGGGGAGCTCCCCCAAAACGTGGGGGCCCAGCCCCTGAACAATAAATGGCCTCTCATGCTGGCATGAAATCTCTCTCCTTTTTGGCACCATAGGAGGGCTGGTAGATCCCACCCACACCGCGCACGAGCCTCTCCCCGTGACTCGATCCTCAGCCAATGGGGTTTCCAGAGAGTTGATGATGATGGCACAGTTCTTTGGAAGGGAAATAGGGGGTAGAAATAAGGACCTGTGGTACAGTGTGGGACCGTCGATCCAAACCTTTTTAGAGTGGTTTTTAAAAAAATTATATGATATATGTATATAACATACAAGATCAAGAGTCACATGCTGTACTGACTGAGCCAGCCAGGAGCCCCTATGGTGATTTTTTTTTTTTTTTTT